TGGACCAACTTGAAAATGGGTTCCTTGAACATAGTATGAACCCCTTTGGATGAACCCCCTAGAGGGGGTAGCAATCCTTTTCGGGGAGTATCCTCCCGCTCCCTCTTTTTTCTCTTAGATTGGAGGGTTCGGCCTTTGCTACTTCCCATCTCGTCCTCGATCCTTGAGTACTTGTTTATCCGAGCNGGTTCGGCCTTTGCTACTTCTCATCTCGTCCTCGATCCTTGAGTACTTGTTTATCCGAGCCATCAGCTCGTCCATATCCGAGAAAGTCTTCTTAGTCAGGGATCGGTACAGGTCCGTGTCCCTCGCCAAGCCGAGCCTGAAAGACACCGTTGCCTTCTACCTCATTAACCTCTTTCCAGTATCGGATGGCATACTGGCGAAGAGTCTCGGATTCCCTACGTCTGAGCGTTAGCAATGATCCAACGTCTTTGGGCCGCTTACTCCCCGTAATGAATCGAGCCAGGAACTGCCTCTTTAATTCCTTCCACGATCCAATACTGTTGAGGGGAAGCGCCTCAAACCACTTCATCCCAGAGTCCCCCAAGCTCATAGGAAACACTCAGCAGAGGAACCGTTGGTCCGAATGATAGAGGGACATCATCTGCTTATATTGCCTGAGATGGGCTTCGGGATCGGACCGCCTGTCATAAGTTTTGAACCTCGGCACGACAAACTTTCTTGAAACCTCCATCTCTCTGATCTCCCTGGTAAAGGGTGTTTGTATGACCTCGTCTTCGACCTCATCCTGGACAGCCTTACTCTTTCTCCTGGATTTCAACCGGGCTTTGAGATCAATTTTCTCCCTGACGGGATGTCTTCTGAAATCTTTGAGTTCATCAATAGGCCCCCCATTTCCTGGGCGCCGTGTGGATAGGGTAGAATCCTCCTCAGACTCATCTCCCTTCCTCCGTCTAGATAATCCTCGCCGGAGGTCATCCAGGGCTAATGGTCTTGCCTTCCTTGAATGGTTGTTAGGAGGGTGTTTGTTGGCTCTCGGTCGGTTTGGGGCCTTGGAGCTTTCTGCCTTGTTATTTAAATGATTCTTTAGATTCTTCGTTTTCTCATCCCGGGCGGGGAACCCACGAGAAAGGAATGAGTCCCTCGACCCTTCGCCGGAGGCGGCAAATTCGTTGAGCCGGCTTAGGACGTTTATATTGTCCTTTTCCAGCTGTCGTAATCTATTGTCAAACTTTTCTTCGATCACCTCCGCCAGCTGACGAGCCAAGGGGGCTGATCCCCCTGACCTGATTCCCATACTGGTTTGAGGGGTAACCCCTCTTGACTGAGTAGAGGCATTTTTATTCTCATCAGTGTGATCCCTCCCTTCTTGGTTACAGGGAGCTTGTAATGCGAGACTTCTTTGGTGGGGACCTTTCCCTTTTTGTCGAGTGTTCACCATGGTCACTGTTCTTTATAGAGAAAAAACTAGGAAAACTAGTCGTTTTCCACAGACGGCGCCAGATTGTGCGTGCTAGATTTTGCACAATATAAAAACGAGAACAGATCTCTCTCTTGGTGAACTTGAGTGAGTCAGTTGGGTGGTCAACCACGCTGCTTGGAACAGCCTGTTAGATCCGGTGGTAACCTGGAACGGTAATGGGAGATCCTCGCGGATCAAAGGAACGATCCAGTAAGGCTAAAGAAAGGATCCTGGAACAAAGAAAAACAAGTTAGAAGGGCGCCGAAGTATTTTTCGGCGTATCTCTTCTGACGATCAAGTCAGTTTTTGAGAGAGAGGACGAAGAAAACACTGAGTATAATTTGTAGCAAAAGTTTTACCTCCTTTTTCTTGCCTTTAGTGAGGAGTATTTATACCTCAAACAGNGCTAAAGAAAGGATCCTGGAACAAAGAAAAACAAGTTAGAAGGGCGCCGAAGTATTTTTCGGCGTATCTCTTCTGACGATCAAGTCAGTTTTGGAGAGAGAGGAAGAAGAAAACACTGAGTATAATTTATAGCAAAAGTTTTACCTCCTTTTTCTTGCCTTTAGTGAGGAGTATTTATACCTCAAACAATCATGATTGCTATCAGTGTGGTCAGTAGGTGATCATTAGATACAGGCAACGTGCGCACTGATTCCTATGAGGAATGTCTTCTCTCTTAACTGCTCGGGAATCCGAGCAATCAAGACTGTGTTATCGGCCTACCGACGGTTCAATGAGCTCCTTTCGGGGAGGATGCAATAAATGCCCAGCCTTAGAGACATTTATTGTCTTTCACTTCCGAGCCTTACCGCATTGAATGCAGTCTCATCAAGGGAATGGTGTAATTAAATGCTTGTTTTTCCAAGTCGCGTGTCAGCAAGGTCATGCGGTTTTTCTGTCTCTGATGTGACACAATATACCACGCGTCCATTCCTCATTGGTTGTGACCCCTGCCTTCCTATGCCTTCTGACACCAATTGAGTAAGACGAGGTCATGATAACTAATCTAGCCTAGCCTAGACTAGTGACCAGTGCATCAATAGCCTCTGCTGGAGCAGAGAACTTCATCCTGGATGAGGGGGGTACATCTCGGTACCGAGAAAGAGGTACATCTCAGAGCCGAGGAAGAGGTACATCTCGGAGCCGAGGAAGAGGTGCATCTCGGAGCCGAGGAATAGGTACATCTTGAATCCGAGAGGGGGAGGCCTAGCGACCGATGTACCATATCAGACCGAGGGTATGTGTCGGTACATATAAACGTACTGGATGCCACTCGATCCCCATGATCAGTACCTCGGGGGAGAGGGGACTTGTGACCCGATGGGTACGTGATCTCGATAATAAGGATTATTGACACCGAGAACACGTGTCTTCATCTCGGAGTATTTCGAAAATATCTCATCAATTACCTATATAATATATTGAAGTAAAATTGGATGGATTTAGTTTTTAATTAGTGAATATAGACATGGGGTGGGTTTAGTAATTGATAGAGCAGATATAAATAGGATAAACTTAATAATTTGATGTAAGAGAATTAAATAAGGTGAAAAGTGAGATTTAAGGGGTGAGAATAGTCTCACACCATTTCTTATTGTCTAATCTCACAAGTGAGAATATTTATTTTTTGACAATATTTTTTTGAGTCAATCGTATTATTTTAAAGATATTCAGATCAAAATTATGGTCGAAATAATGTGAAAGTTCCTTAACACCCAACTTATAAAATTTCAAGAATAGATTAAGTGATAATAGAAACGAGCTATAAATTCATATATGTTGAATTTGAAAGTAACGCTCATTTATTGTGGTAGGATTTTGATAGTAGAGTTTAGCATAATTGGATGGAATGAGAAGATTGAAATTATAATTTAGAGACGAAATAAAAACTAGAGCCAAACATTAAGGGTGTGTTTTGTAAATTACTCTCATTTGAGCTTTTGATCTGTTTAAAATTTTTGGTTGCACATAGTCTTAACACTTGGGAGTTAATGCCAAAACTTTTTTGTTTAATAGCTTTCCAAAATAAATATGGTGAATTATATTTTATACTACTTTTTTTTTATTCTCAATTTATCCTCTAAAAAATAAAATTTCCTAATTTTCACCCTCAATGTCATAAAATTATAATAATGTGACCTAAACACAAATTATCGTTCAATTTTTTGTCTTAAAAAAAAGCACACTACTCACACGTGACATTGCAAGTTGCATGCTTCATTTTTTTAAACAAAAAACAAAATGCATTTTGGTTCTGGGTCACATTGTTGCAAACTTACAAAATTTGGGGTTCAAATAAAATTTTTTTAAATTGAGCATCAAAAATATCTTTTAGGAGGCTAAGTGCAATTTGCCCGAACAAATATACAATTTACAAATTAATCGAACCCATTCAGGCTTCGGTTCAAAAGTCAACCCCTAGCCATAACATGGGTCAAATTGTGCGTCTAGATAGGCACAAAATCTGTGGGAAATTTTTTGTGGGAGACAGCATTAAATTCTTTTTTCAACATTATTTTTTGGTAACCTTTTTTTTTTTAACATTTCATTAATTCTTTTGCACTATATTTTTCTATTCTTTTTTTTTCAACGGTTTAAAAGTGTTTAAACTAATTTATACCCATATTAACTAATTTTTTTTTCAATTCAATCAAAGATAAATCATTTACATTGAAACTAAATTATTCTTGAGAGATAAATTTCTAGTAGCGTCAAAACACTGAAAAGTGTAAAAAAATGAAAACAAAAGTCAATTTTGTTTTGTTTGATTAGATAGAAAGTACAATTTCTAGATAATTTTTTTTCCCTCAAGTATAAAATTTTTCTATAAACATTTACTTTGATTTCCCACAAATTGTGTGGAGAAATTTTTGTTTCCGTAAAAATTGTCTTATTTTTCCTATTTTGTCCTCTTACCATTTTTTTCATTAAATTAATATGATAAAGATAATTTAGTCCTTAGACTAATTTTTCTTTATTTTTTTAACAATTTTTTTATTCTAATCAAATGCATAAAAAAAAAAATTTCTTCCTTTCATTTCATTTTATTTTCTACTTTTTTTTTTTATATTTTCCATCATCAATTTCTTTCTAGTCAAATCGAAAGCCTAGCTTCAACAGATTGATTTTTGAGAGAAAATTTTTTAATGGTTTAACCCCAATAGATTCTCAAAATTCAAACACGCCCAAATTGTATTACCTCCTGGTTTACTTTTCTCTTATTCAAGCTTATCCTCATCCTGATTTCTCTTTTTTCAGAAAAACAATTTCCTTCAAAACGTGTTTTCATATTACGAATCTTCCAGGAAGAAACCACCACCACCAGAAAGTAAATACAGTGGGCGCTCTGAAGATTAGAGCTTTAAATAGAAGGGAAAGGTGAAGGAAAGACATTTATTACGTGTTTTGCCAGCTCCTACTGTTGGCGTTGAATTCTAATAAAATTTCACCGTTTCTCTATCACCAACCAAACAGAACAGAAACCTCTCTTCTACTCTTCTTATTCTTCGTACAGTCGGTCCTCTTTTTCTATCGAAGAACAGAGACTGGCTATAGACAACTTTCTTGTCTCATGGATTATCGAATTTTTGTGTTTCTCTCCCTGTGTCTTTTCTTCTCATTCCCTGATCTCTCCCATTCTGCTCTCCAATCCTCAGGATGGAGCGGCGATGAGAAGACGTATGTCTCACTCTCTCTCTCTCTCTTCGATTTATATGTGTGAATTTCTTTGCTGAGGAGCCATTGAGAAATGTAGATCATATCTGATTTTGTTGTTTTCTTTCGGTTCAGAGAAGGGTCGGTGCTCAAATTGACGACTGGTGCTTCTGCAGCTTCTTTTGATCCTACTCGGGTCACCCAACTCTCTTGGCATCCTATGTCTCTCTCTCTCTCTCTCTGCCTAGTGTTGTGGATGCATGTACCTGATCTTCTTGTGATTTTAATTGAGTTGTCTTGTTGATTTTTGTTGCTGTGGTGGTGGTGATTGGGGCTATGCAGGGCTTTTCTATATAGGGGATTTTTAACAGATAAGGAGTGTGATCATCTCGTTACCTTGGTTAGTCTTTTATCTCTTATTTTGTAATGCGTTTTGTCCCCCCCCCCCCCCCCCCC